CTCAGAGAAAGCAGAATAGCAGTACCACTCCCAAGATTTAAGAATGAGCTATACACCCTCTCCCGGGACACTCCTGAGCCCCAGTCCCCCTCGCAAGCCCTGCAGTGCGCCTGGGACAGGGGAACATACCACTGTCCCTCAACTAGCGAGCCTGACGCCTGCTTTTCCACTGACCCCGACAGGCCATGCCAGGCCCTGAGCCCAAGGAGCAGGGGGTGTGGCCCAGCCTCAGAGGCTGTCCCCAGGGCCTCACCTGCCACCTGCTTGCTGCGCTGGGAGGCCTCTGAGGCCAGGGCGTAGGAGATGTTGATGATGCGCTCCTGCGCCTGCAGCTGCGAGTCCAGGTCGGCCACGCCATCCCGGTCCTGGCCGGACACCGGCTGCAGGTTGCACATGCTGTGGGAGAGCCAGAAAGCAGGCTGTGGGCCTCGCCACCCCCAGGCACCCGCCTCAGGAGAGCAGGGTCTCCCTGGCCAGAGGATCTCACCCTTTGGGGGGCATCAGATAAAAATGGTGCACCTTCTCTCCAGACAAAGGTGCACCTGCTTCTCCCCAAACACCTAGTCACAGCTTTGTTCCTCCTTTGGCGGATCACAGACCTCAAGGTAAGAGTTCCAGCTCTAAGCTCCTATTAAGTCCAGATGGGAAAAAGCTAACCGCTCTCTGAAAGGGAGGCCCTCAAATACCCAGTTTACGTTTCTGAGGCTACCAACCTGGCCTCCAGGGATGTGGGCAAGGCCTCTGGCACCTCAGGACAAGGCTGGGCCCCTGGCTCTGGTCTGGGGGTCTGTGTGAGGGAACATGGGCCCTAAGGCTGGGAGGGCCGTCCTTGGGGCCTATCTCCAACTGTGTCCACTTCACCACCACACTTGGCTCCACTCCCCACGCTTGCCAGGGCCACGTTACACAGATTTGGGGCCAAGGGCCTAGGATGGCCCTCTGAGTGCTTTAGACCTCCCAGATGACCTGGGCAAGCTTCCTCGCTGATCTGCGGGTGACGTGCTGAGAGCCAGCCTGCTCCTTACCATGAGCAGCGCTGGTCTGAGACGGAGGCCTGACAAGACACACTCCCCGGCCAGCCCAGCCCAGGGCCCATTCAGTTGAGACACCCCTGGGGTCGGCCTAGCAGGTCGTCAGGGCTCAGGCAGCATGAGGGCTGACCTGGACCGGGTAAGGATGTTACGGATCTTCTCGGCCTTGCGGTACCGCGCCTGCAGCTCCTCCAGGCTGGGCGGCTCTTCAGGATCCAGCTCCACATAACGCTCGGGGATGGAGACCTTCTCTGGTTTGGAGAGCTGAGGAAAGGTGGTGGGAGGCACAGATGTTGGGTTTGGGACCTGCTCCCCCCATCCTGTCTCCTGCCATGAGGCACGCAGAGGAGCCCGCAGACTTCAGTAACTTGCTAAGATCACAATGGCAGTTCACTGTGCAGTCCCGACCTGAATCTGGGTCTGACTCCAAAGCCCGTGTTCTATCTACCGTACCAGGCAACCTCCTACAGGCCAAGGGAAGGGAAGGGGGAAGGCAAAATAACTAGACCAGTAAGCCCTGAGGATACAAATGATCACCCTAAAAGCTACCCTTGATGTGATCTGACCTCTCCAGCCTCACTGACCCACCTCGGCCCCTGCTCTTTCCTCTGCCTGAGATGCTCCTTCCTTGGGCCCCATGGCCTCTTTCTCATCCTCCCAACCTCACCTCCAGAAGGCTTCCCTGACCCTCCTTCTCCCATCCACCCACCCCTGCCACTCCCTCCCGTTTCCTGTTTGTTTCTCCACTGTCTAGAGCAGGGACTTGGTACTTAGCAGCCCTTCAGCAAACACTCCTTGGATGGGTGGCTGGGTGGCTGGGTGGAGGGATGAAAGAAAGTGATAGTGCTTTCTGCCCCTACAAAAGACCCAGACAGGAGGCAGCCACATTGAATCTACTGCTCTCAAGAGGAAAATGACCCCAGCTCCTCCCCTCACCAGTGTCTCACACAAACCCAACAGCAACCTCAGCTTGGTGAACCTTTGCGTGGGCCAAGAACGCTAAAGGCAACTTTTGCACACACCTCAGGGAATTTTTTTCTTCCTTGAACTACATTAAAATGGGGTTGATTGAAACTTCCAAAAACAAGCTAAATCCAATCCCAGGGCAAATCTGGACTTGAATTTAAGCCCATGCAGACCTTTCATTCTGGTGAAAGATGGCAAGAAATAAGCTCTTTTCTGTTATTTCCCATGAGGGCAGATGCAGAGGAAGGAAGCAGATTACATTGTAGCAGGAGGGATTTAGGTCAGAGATAAGGAAGAACTTTTTCCCCTGGCTGGCAGGCCAATTAGGACACCGCAAAATGCACTTCCATTGCCAAGGCAGTGTGTAGAAGCTTCTTTTGTGGACCTGAGAAAGCACGGACCTTTGGCTGTTTCAGAGGTGCCAAAGGGAAAAGGTCTGAAGGCAGGGGACCAACCTCGTTAAACCCTGGAGCCCCAGCTGATCCCAGAACCCAGCGACTCCACAGGCGTCAATTTGCGCCCATCCTGTCTGATCTATCCTTCATGTGGTGAGAGCATTTCCTCTCATGCAGTTTCAGGCCAGGCCAAGTCCTCATACAAATGTGTTTGGGATATCTGGGGGCCACTGTGCACTTCATTCAACAGAGTCGTCATTCAGCAAATATTTACAGAGCATCTACTCTGTGCCAGGCCTGGTGCTGGGTGCACAAAGGTGAACCAAACAGCCAAAGACACTGCTCTACAGAGCTTACAAATGGCACAACATAGGTCACAGGAGACCACCCTATGTCTTGAAGACCCTAAGTCTGTCGCGCTCCGACCCCCTTTCTCTCCCCGCGGGTAAGAGATGGTCCTGACTGCGGTTACTTGCTTTTCTGGGCCTGCCCGGCCATGATGCGTTTGAGCCACCAGAGGGCGAAAGAACCCAGACCAGACCTATCCAGGTCTCCTAGCCTCTGCCATGGCTGGATATTTCACCTGTGATTTCTAAACCTGCACTGCCTTTTCCCCAAGTCTGACTGCCCAAATTGGCCTGACTGGCCAGATGCAAGACCAATCCCTGGTTTTCCAGGGAACGTATCCTAACAGTAACTACCACCTCATCACATGCCTACTATGTGCCAGGCCCTGTGCTCACAGCTTTCTGATCATTGCTAATCGTTCGGGCAATGTGCTGAGTCACTTAACCCTCCCCACAACCCACATTACTGCTGAGGAAACTGAGGCACAGAGAAGTTAAATGACTTGCCACAAATTACAAAGAGAGACAGATCTGAACCTGCATCAAAGTGTCTGGTCTCCCCTTACTACCTCCAGGTGTAGGTAGTCCACCCTCCTGGGCCACACTGAAACCGAGCCTGTCCCCATTCAGGGCAACAACCGCCCCCCACCACCTCCATGCCCCTGGGAGGGTTGGTCAGGCTGGCGTCTGAAGGCTGGGCCTCCTGGGGGCAGCATGAAGGAAGCCCCTGCCCTCACCTCTCTGCTGATGTCCACGTCATAGTCTTGTGGTTCCAGGTCCAACTCAGTGACAGGCATAGCCTGCACCTTCAGCCAGCCATTCTCCTCCTTGTCCTTTCTGTCCCCTTGTACGGCCCGTTCCAGCAGCTGCAGGTCAAAGTCCTGCTCGCGCTTCCACTGGTAACAGAATAAGAGGGTGAAATGTAGTCACTTCCTGGCTATCCCTTTTGGGTAGGTCTTGCAGGTACTGGGGTCCTTGGGAAGATGGACCTGTGACTCATTAGGGAAAAGCTGTGTGACCATGGACCTCAACCTCATCTCTAAAACAAGGCAGCAGCAATCCTGTGACACGGATGGTCTCTGCTGTGTTCTGAAACTCTGTGACAGAGAGAACAAGGCCTCTGCCCCTTTGATACAGCCAGACTCCAGACTGCCGATTTCTCTCTGATATGGGCCCCAAAGTGTCCAAACCTCCCGGGCACGGGTCTAAGATCCACGACTTTAGACTCACAATGGTCCCCAGGGATACAGGAGGCTCCCAGGTCCAAGAAGGTGACCCTAAAACAGAAGCTGGGACAGAGCTCAAGAGAAGAGGCTTGCCGCTTCTGTTGCATGACAGATCACGGAAGCCCTTCTGGTTCGGGAGCCATATGTTGTTCCAGCTCAGAAACAATGGGTGAAACAAACCCTCTGAGGCCCTGGTAAGCAAGTGGAATAGCCAAGAGCCTCTCTAGTGGGCAGTCCCAGTAGGACACAGTTAAGGGTGGGGAATAATGCCCCCACGGTGGGACTGGGGAGGTGCAAGCAGGAGCAGCTTGTGGCCAGGGAGGCAGATAAGCTGCGTATCACGCAGCTATTTGGGGCAGATGTTTTAAGTTAGAAAAACCAAACACATGTAAAATTTAAATGCTAAATCAAATGCAACAATTCCAACTCTGTAACAAGCAGGCTTCACAGAGGGAAACTCTAACCCAGCCACTTTAAGATCCCAGCACAATGGTTTGGCTCCGCCGCAGCCTTCCTAATCACCTGTGGCCTGCATCCCCACAGGCCTCGACACTGAGCAGGTTGTTGAGAGGAGGGAACGGGCCCAAAGCCTCCCTTTTCTTGAGCAGAAGCCAAGCAGACGCTTCTCCATCCCAGGTTGCCTTCTTCTTCCCACCCCACCCGCCTCACAGAGCCCCAAGTGGTCACCGTTGTCTTTAATGCCCCCTCAAGCCCGCACTCACCCAAGCCCCAAACCCACAGCCATAGCAGCACATTTCACCCATTCGTGCACAAGCTCTCCATACTGACTCTACGTCAACGTAATCGCTTTTAGGTGATGGTTTCCAATTAAAATGTAAAAGGATTAGGCAGTTGAAGATTCAGGGATGAAAAATTAATTTCATGATTCACAAAGAAAACACACATTTTCTTACACGCTCACCAGTGCCCCAAAGAGAGACAAGACCTCACATAAACCCAGCCTGATTGTTTCCACAAACAGAAAAAGTTCACTGGACTCTACAATGTATCCTGGGGAAGAACCACGCCAATCCATTATCATTAAGCAACACGTTTATTGGCGCTGAGGCAGAGACTTACACAAGTCTTTTTTCTTAAAGAGAAAAATTACAAGGTATTCAAGTTACGATTTTTAGATCACTTTTCTACATTTGAGACATCAGGTTGTGAAAAGTCAGTTTTACCTCATATGACATTTACTTATAAAGTTTAAAAGTTACTGGCTTTGCAGCTTTTCAGGATATGAGTATCCTGGGTCTTACCCCTTTGGTGTCTGAGCTAACAGCTGCAGAGAGGCCCTCTGAATACAGATCATAATGTATCTTGCTACCCGTTCAAGTTATTAAATACTAGAAACACAAAAAGTTTTCCGTAAGAAATTGTGCCGATGGGGCCGGAGGAATTAAAACTGAACCACCTCAGACTTGGCAGAATTTATTCCAACATGCAATCTCTGAAGTCTGTGTCTACTGTCCAGATGTGAGGCATGGACTTTGATAAATTCATCATGCCCAGACCTCTGACAATGACCACGGCCCTCAGGCAGTGGGGCTGGCTCAAACTTGTGGGGCAGCTTTTGGGATAAGGGAATTATGAGTCAGTAAGCCTGCATAAAGGGGGCGGCAGAAAGGTGAGTCACACATGGGAGTGCTCACTAGGCTATGGAGAAAAGAGCTGCTATTATAAGCCTGGTAACAAGAGCACAGGCCAGTTAGAGAATGGTTGATGCAAATTAGAAGCGTCTGTAGACACAATCAGGCAGGATTAGAGAGGCAATGAGCGGTAACGCTAAAAGCAAAAGAGCTTGTGCAATGAATTAGGGGAAGAGCAGTCAGGCTAGAGGTCTAGGGAAACATTTGATTTCAAACAACAGGGAAAAGTCAAATGGAATGTTTCCAAAAGGGACCTAAGGCGACTGTGGGCAGGGTGCAGTGCCTGGAAGCACCACCAGAGGGCAGAAGACGCCCCGGCTCTCCTGGGGCATGGGGAGGCCCGTCAGCACCGCGGCGGTGGGAGAGCCCCAGTCCTCAGAGGTGAGGGCCACCACCCTCTGCTCAGCTGCCCCACGGGGCGCCCGCTTGGAGGTCCGGGAGGCTGGCTGGCTTGCACTCCTCCTCCTCAAATCATAGCACCATCTTTCTCCTCCACTCCTCGAACCCTGTACTTCCCAAGTCCTTGGTTCAGCTGAGAGACTGAATGCTTACAAAGGCCTCCCTCAAGCTCGACTGCAAAACTGACTGTGGACGTTCTCTCTGGCTCCTGGGCTCCTGCAGTGACATCCTCGTTCCTGCTCTAGTTCCGGGGCACCCTCTGACCAAGTCACACATGCGTCCCGGCTTGTGGACACACAGCCCGTGGGGTGTTCTCTGAGCCATCCAGGTCGACAGCCCACTCTCTCGGGGCTGAGAAGTGCTTGTGTCTGGGGGACTCGGGGAAGCTCTGCTCCCTGTCCCAGCCCCTCCTGCCTGGACCCTCCTAACATACTGAGCCGAGATCTCCAGGGAGTGGTTGGCCGAGGTAGCGGGACGAGGGCAGACCCGTCCTCTCTCCTTGGCTCAGCGTCCTCTTGCGCTCCCGGACCAGGGCCTTCTGGTGCCGCTTCATGCGCTCGAGCTGCTCCTCTGCGCTCATCTTGTCCCGCTGGTGGTCCCCTGAGTACAGGCGCTCCAAGGCACTCCTGGGTCTCTGAGGGGCAGGAGGGACAGACAGGGCAGCTGGGCTGGGAACACAGAGGGCAGCCGCCCGACTGGCTTCATCCCCGTCTTTCTTTCTCTCTGTCTCTGTCACACACACACACACTGGCTTCATCCCCGTCTTTCTTTCTCTCTGTCTCTGTCACACACACACCCACACACACTGGCTTCCTCCCCGTCTTTCTTTCTCTCTGTCTCTGTCACACACACACCCACACACACTGGCTTCCTCCCCGTCTTTCTTTCTCTGTCTCTCTCTCACACACACACACACACACACACACACACACACACACACACACACACACACACACACATGCCAGTTGGGCTCCTCCTGGCCACTGAAAAGCAGCTCCTCTAAGCACACTCGTGGACATGATACCGCTGGCCCTCATGGGCTCTCTGGGCAGCATCCAATTCTGCAGATGCAGACACTGAGGCCCAGGCCTGTCCAGTTGGGCAGAAGCACGTCATGGGCCACAACTCAGGGTGTGACTCACTGGGCAAGACTGGGGAGAAAGGTGGGAGCCCCTTGGGAAATGGGGAGGGCAGTGTGATGCCCTTCTTGGTGGGCAGTGGTGAAGGCATCATGAGCACATGGTGACAGGGAATCTGAGCTCTGGAGGGGTCACCTGACAGGATCACCAGTTACCGTCTACCTCGGAGCCCTCCCCTCTGTGCGTGAGGGAGCAGTGAGCCCCTCAGGAACTTCTCAAGGCCACTCACAGGGTAGGTCACCTTGCTGCTTTCGGCATCTAGACCCCTCCGAAGCGTGACGTAGGGAGCAATGGTGGACGACTGCTGGAGCCTTGACGTGGACCCCGAGAGCCCTTAGTGAGGAAAGAGAAATGCAAGTGGATTTGTGGTGAGGAGGACAGGCCACCAGCCCCTTCTTGATCAACTCTCACTCCCGTGAGGGGACCACAAGGACCCAGCCAACAACCCATGCTTCTTCCTCCCCAGAGCCCGGAAGAGCAAGGCCCCAGGCAGGGAATGAGGGGCCAGCCCATGGGTGCCCTCTGTCCCCAAAGGAAGATCTGGGGACTACCCTCGTCTTCCCTCACATGCAGAAGACCTGGGCTGCTTGGCAGGAGGAAAGGATGCAGGGCGAGGAATGCCCTGCATCACTTCCTCCTGATGAACTCCTATTGCACCCTGTGTGACCCAACTTGGATGCCTGCCTGTGAGAAGCCTTTTCAAATGCTCCAGGCAGAATCAGTTATTCCCTGTATTCTTCAGTATATTCACTGGTTACTGCACTGACCACAGTGTCAACATGCCTGTCTACAAATTCAACAATGCCTGGTTGAATGAATAAATGACTGAGTGAATAAATGAAGAATGGAAAGAAGGCACCAAGCATTTACTGAGTACTTACTATATAACAGGCAGGCATCGTGCCAGGTATTTCATATAGATTTTGTCCCGCTGGCCCTACAAAGTAGCATTACCTAACCACTGTGGAGGTACGCAGTCTAAAGCTCAGAGAGGTTAAGCAACTTGTCCAAGGTCACATGGAGCCTCAGCCCGTGCTTTCTCCACTAGCAACATTCTTAACAAGGCTGGTCCCTGACATCTGGAAACGGGCATCACACCAAGGACTCCACCAGCATTTAGCACGTAGGAAAAAGAATGATAAATGTCCTGCAATGCCCAGAGACTCCTGAGCGACAAAGAACTGTCCTGCCCACAGGCCACTAACACTGCCATTGATGAACACCTCGAGGCTGTAATGAAAGAAGGGAAAAGGGTCCCCAGGCACAGTGCCAAGGGTTGCTGTGGCCCAACTCAGCAAAAGCCAGTCCCCTCCAGGGACCAGCTCAGGACACAGCAAGCCTACCCAGCATCGTGGGCTGGGAGTCACATAACCCCATAGGAGTCCAAATCATGACGGTGTGGCCTCCTGTTTCCACACCCTGTCAAGGGGGGAAAAGCGCCTGACCTCCCACCAAATGAGGGAGTGTGGTCAACCTTCTCTGGGGTTCCTGATGGCCTCCTTTTAAAAGGATTTCAGAAAGAGGATCTGGCTATGGGGAAAAATAGGGCATGGGCGAGCCTAATGGCCTAAATCTCTTCCCACCCCCATCTCAAAGGGATAGGGGAGGAGAGGGAGAAGACGCAACTGAGGAGAAAGGTGTGTCTGTTTAAATAAAGGACTCATTGAGTCTTAGAGTGACACAGAAGAGGAGAAAAGCCTCTGGAAGGCATGAGATGGGATGGCCAAGCTGATGACAGTCACCCAACATCCCAGCCTGCAGGGTGGGATTCTGGCTCTGTCACTTATTGGCTAACTGGCAAGTTGTTTCATTTCTCTGGGCCTCGGTTTGCTTATCTCTAAAATGGGGATAACAACAGTACTTCCCTCACGGGATTATCATGAATCTTAACTAAGTGAATATAATAAAGTGCTTAAAACAGCACTGGGCTTTATAGTAACTGCTATTATCATTGTTCCCGGGGGCAGATGTAATAAAAGAGGATGAGAATCAGGATGTGAGCCAGAGGCAGGAAGGACAGGCCCTCCCTACAGCCCAGAGTTGGCTGACAGCTGCTACCCAGGCTGAGGCCCCAGCCTGCAGGCAGAAGGGTGTGAGGACCGGGTAGGGCTGGAGAGCAGTGGTGTGGCAGTGGCGGGGATGCCCAGGAAGACTCCATGGAAAGTCTCGCCTTACCTCTGCCTGGCAACGTCTGGTACCTGCTCTCAGAGCCCACGAGTCCCAGGGAGGGAGGGGCCATGTCCCCACCGAAGGTCGCCAGCTCAGGCTCACTGACGTATGACCGGAGCTCCACCTGTGGGCAGAGTCTGAGGCCGTCACACCTGCCCCGCCGCCATCCCTCTCCCCACAGCGGGGCAACCCCAGGGGTGCCCCCTGCTCACCCTCGAGTCCCCGTTCACACACTGCCCCTGCTCCCGGTCCCGTTTCCTCTCGTCCGACTGCCGCTTGAGGCCCCTCACTGAAGTGTGCCGGATGATGGTGGCCTCCCTCGGTAGAGGTGGCACAGCCGGGGGCTGGTCCTCCGGGCTGTAGAGCTCAGGGAGCGGGGGCCTGGGAGGTGCCTCGTCTTCCTGCTCAGAAACAAAACCAGAACCAGTGCCCGGTGAGAGAATGCTCAGTGGCACCATCACAGTGGTGGCCCAAGGGAAGGAGCAGGACACCCTGGGTCTGCAGGGAGTGACCACTTCAGCCCAAAGATGCCAATGTTTCCCCTGGTTGAGCTGTGAGGTCGGGAGACGTCTCTGCTCCAACCCCATCCTCCCCTTTGATTCACACATCTTCCATTTTTCAAAGTGTGATCTACACATAATCCAGAACTCAGGACATGGGTCCACGCTCTCATTCCACTGGCTCGGAGTGCACCATCAGGGGAGGCAGGCTGGTAACTCTGTGTTTACCTTTATGTTGATGACAGCACCCCACCACCGCCACCCCATCCCACCATGCTCAGACGGAGCCAGCCCGCGGTCCCTGCACCGTCTCTGGATCCTTCAGCAGCCTGGGGATCTGAGCAAGGACCATCTACATGCTCCTGCCCTTTCTATCAGAAATGCACATGGTTACAAAATATTTCCTCCTTCCTGACTCAGGCACAGAATAGGCAGTCAGGATGGGTGACTCACTGCCTTCTCCACAGCCCACTCCCTGGGCTGGGATGAATGTAACTATTTTCCTTGAACCCCCCTGTCCACAATGCTCTCCGAGGGCTGTGGCCTCTCTACAGACCGACAGCCTGGCCCCTGACTGCCATGGACACCCACTCCTGGCACAAATGACCATCCAGACTCCTTCCTCCTAACCACCCCCTTTCTTAGCCTCATTTTGCTTTGTTTTTCAGAGTTCAGGAAAGGGTGCTGTAAGCTTGTTTTGCAAAAGCTTATCAGCACTCTTCTAAAGCAACACATTTGATTATTGTGTGAAGTTTAAGCTGCCTACCTAAGATACCCAGAGGCTCTCTGAGCATCAGTGGTTTCCAAACCCTGACAAGACCTTGGAATCACCAATTCCTAAAAAAGTCCCCCAGAAAGATAAACGCAAACCATTGATTGCCTTTGATTGAAGGGAATAGAATGTCTGGAGACACAGGGTGGAAGGGAGACATTTTATTACATATTTTTTTATATCCTTTGATTTTGTACCCTTTCAGAGTATTGTTTAATAAAAAAAAATGGCATTAAATTTAAGAAAAGCCAAATAAAAATGAAAGAACTGGGCTTCCCTGGTGGCACAGTGGTTGACGGTCCGCCTGCTGATGCAGGGGACACGGGTTCGTGCCCCGTACCGGGAAGATCCCACATGCCGTGGAGAGGCTGGGCCCGTGAGCCATGGCCGCTGAGCCTGCGCATCCGGAGCCCGTGCTCCAAAACGGGAGAGGCCGCAACAGTGAGAGGCCCGTGTACCACAAAAAAAAAAAAAAAAAAGAACTATAGCTACATGCAACAACATGGGTAAATCTCACAAACATACTGTTGAAAGGATGCAAGATATGAAAGAATAAACACAGTATTACATATGGGCAAAATAGAAGTGTTTTGGATGCAAATATCGGTAGTGAAACAAAACAAAACAAAAAAGCAAGGAAATTATCAAGAAAGTCAAGATAGTGGTTACTTGACCTACACTGGGAAGGGACCCACAGGCCCTACACTGGGAAGGGACCCAGAGGCCCAAGGGACCCACAGGCCCAAGGGACCCAAAGGGCCTACACTGGGAAGGGACCCACAGGCCCAAGGGCTTCTGATTGCTGGCAAAGTCCTATTTCTTAGAGTCACAGACGTAGAGAACAAATGTAAGGATACCATGGGGGAAAGGGGTGGGGTGGGAGGAATTGGGAGACTGGGATCGACACATATACGTTATTGATACTATGCATAAAATAGACAACTGATGGGAACATACTGTATTGCACAGGGAACTCTACTTAATGCACTGTGGTAACCTAATGGGAGGGAAGTCCCAAAGGGAGGGGATATCTGTATGTATATGGCTGGTTTATTTTGTTGTGCAGTGGAGGATAACAACATTGTAAAACAACCATCCTCCAATAAAAATTCATTAAAAAAAAAAAGTCCTATTTCTTGGTCTGAGTGTTGGTATGAAATGGGTAGTCTCTTTATTATTATTTACTAAATTATATATCCGTGTTTTTTTGTTTGTTTTTTGCGGTACGCGGGCCTCTCACTGTTGTGGCCTCTCCCGTTGCGGAGCACAGGCTCCGGACGCGCAGGCTCAGCGGCCATGGCTCACGGACCTAGCCGCTCCGCGGCATGTGGGATCCTCCCGGACCGGGGCACGAACCCGTGTCCCCTGCATTGGCAGGCGGACTCTCAACCACTGTGCCACCAGGGAAGCCCAATATCCATGTTTTATGTCAATTTCAGGATGGATATCATTGTTTCACAAAAATAAATATAAAACAAGCAACCAACAATAAAAATGGTAAAACTGGTGAACATATATACAACTAGAAGGAGGGGAGAGAAGACCCACCCACCTTGGTGACCCTGATGCTCAACCAAGTTGAAAAGCCCTGCTTCTGAGCCACAGCAACCAAGCTATGAAGAGGGGCCTCTGTCTTCATCTATTTCAAGCTGCTTGTTCTGCACAAGGGGAAACTGAGGATGCTCAGAGAGGGTATGGGCCTTGCCTGAAGACCCAGAGACAGACAGGGGCTGGAATCCAGGCAGTCCTGCTCACAGGCCTTTTTCCCTTTGCCCCTCGTCCCAGAGGGCAGGTGTCTTGCATTATATTAGCACCTGTCTGTCCCAGCCATTCCTGC